TTCAGAAAGCAGCAGAAACTGGGGGACATGTTCCCATTTTTTACAGCAATAATAAAAGGCTTGAAGTTGACTTGAGCAAAAGAAACATGTTCGCTTTATGCCAGGGATAACGTCTTAAAGATAACTACTCCTATGTCATGGGGGTGTGCCTGGTACTATAATCCCCCCGCGCACAGCACCGAAACCACAACCGCAAGTCACTGAGCCGGTGGAGAGATCACAAAGATCTCTTCTGTGACTGGCTCAGCGATACAGAGGGCAGCAGCATTTGCCACTTATATTCCTCACATAACCGCAGCAGTCCTCGGTGCCTGGGAAGCTGTGACAGGAGGGCTGCTGTGGATTCCGAGGCTTCCTATTCAATCACTTTTGTGTGCACACCCTAATGCAATAGGCTGTGCATGCCTATGTACTATGTTTGAAGGTGTCTGCAAATAACTTTGTCGGCCATTGCCCATAAACTGAAATCAGAACTCTTTCGGGTTTCCTGTAGGGTTCTTGGGGAAGAGAAAAAGACAGGAACACTTTTTTATTACATGTATTTATATAGTGCCAACAATTTACATACTGTACACATCACATCAGTCTCTGCCCTCAAGGACCTTACAATCTAAGGTCCATATCGCACCAGGGGCATAGCATGTGGGGGGCAGTTGCCCTGGGCACCAAATTTTTAGGGGTGCTGTGGGCAGCCGGCCCTCCCATACCGGGCCTAGTCGGGTCAACAGAGGGCCCCAGGTTGGGGTTGGAAGCTGCTGCTGCTATGCGGCTCCCTCCTCCCCGCTGGGAGCAATCTGTGTCCCCTCTGATCCCCGCTGCTCTCCCCTACCTGCTTCGGCAGAGGTAGTGGGGATCGGAGGGGACACAGAGCCAATCCAGATGCTGGCGTTCAGGAGAGAGCAGGCACAGGAGAAGTCAGGATGCCGAGCGGGGCTGTGAGGATGGAGAGCGGAGCTGTGTGGGGCCGGGCGGAGCTTCAGGATGCCGAGCGGAGAATCAGCAAATATTTCATATTTTCACATTCTTGCGTGTACTGAGCAAGCACCTAGTGATCGGTACTGATTACTGAGCAAGCACCTAGTGATCGGTACTGATCACTGAGCGAACACCTAGCGATCGGTACTGATCACTGAGCGTACACCTAGCAATCAGTACTGATCACTGAGCGAACACCTAGCGATCGGTACTGATCACTGAGCGAACACCTAGCGATCGGTACTGATCACTGAGCGAACACCTAGCGATCGGTACTGATCACTGAGCGAACACCTAGCAATCAGTACTGATCACTGAGCATACACCTAGCGATCGGTACTGATCACTGAGCATACACCTAGCGATCTGTACCGATCACTGATCGAACCCTTAGCGATCGGTACCGATCACTAGATACACAGTTCTTACAAAATGCAATGTCTGGTTTATGCTATGTTTGTGTTACGTCCTTCTACAGGGCTCAATCTCTCTGCAGCAGGTTGCCCTAGATTACATCCAAGCTGTCCCTTGAAATGTTGCAAGTCTTGCTTTGCCATCATTTGCAGCTGTTTCCTCTTTTGTGCTTCATGAAAGCCGGTTAACAAAATCTCACTTGACAACTGAGCCACGGAGAGGGTTTTGCGAGGCACAACTTGCGCTTGTTTTCCAGAACAATGCGCCCTAGAGAAATCTGCAGTCCCGTGAAATGAACCTTTGAAACATTTTCACAGCTATACCCGGTGCATGTAGAATAGAAAGTCAGTGTTATTTTGAACGTATCTCGATGAGAAATATATTTAAAACTCTCCTTATGGCAAATATGTATACACATTCCAGCAGCGCAGCCATAAAGCATACAGTATTCTGGACTTCTTTAGTCGCCTGTTATGTAGAAATGCTGCTCTGCCTGCAGGAGAGTTATTTGAAGAGCTCGCATTCCCTAACCAGGAAGGCTACAGCCATCGTTGTGAAACGAGACAAGTGTTTAGGAACATAAAACTGCTTTTCCCTTTCCTAAGAACTGATGATATAAGTAACGTGTAGTGATTCCAATTTTAGAAAAAGGCCATAAATGTCTTTCTTTTTGTTATATAAACACTGAAATAAGCCTTCTATTATTAAAAGTAGATGTAAACCCTAACCGAATGACATTTCATTTGCTTAAAAGCACGCTGTATCATAAACAGTTGCCATGGTTTCCTTTTATTAAATACTTGTTATCCCCATTTTTCCTCCTTTGTAGCATCGAAGTGCAGATTTTCTTGTGCGGCCCCTTTGCGGCCACTTCCTGCCTACATGTACTCCAGCGATGGCTGCATGGTGGCATTTCTCATCATAGGGACAACAGGGGACCATGTTTAATCTGCCACTTGTTGTCTATCAGTAGCTCTTGTGACAGAGTGACAATGCAGGAGCGCAACTGGGAGAAAGGGGGAGAGTATTGTCACCCTATAACAAGTGTCTGAAAAAGGACCTTCATGACAGGGTCACCAGGTATTATTTTAATGAAAGCTGCAGATTGGAAAATATTATTAAAAGGAGAAATATTGGGAGAGTAAAATATACTCTTCCTAATACTTAGAGCTGGCATGTGACACTGCAGATGTCACACGTCAGCTCTATAGATCGAGAGCTGAAAGATCACAAACCACTGATCGCTCAAGCTCATGGTCTTCTCCCTAGCAGAGAGCAGTGACTGTCAGTCACCACTCCACGCATGGATTCCTCCCTGTTTTTCCCCCAGCGCTCATTGGAGGGACAGACAGGAGAAGGTGGGCACAGCTGGCTCTAGAGAGCTGTCAGTCAGGTAGTAGGGTGGATCCGCACAATATTGTTGGGATCTTTCCCGGCTGCGATGCGGCTCTGCACTGTCAGCATATAGCAAGCATTAGCCATCTAGATGTTGACTTTGGGTCACAGTAGGACATTAGTAAACCTACTCCTGTGACCCAAAAAAGAACTAAAGCCAAAAAAAGGTTTGGCTCTAGTTCTCTTTTAATGATTTTCGAAATGGCATTAGCATGTTAAAGCTTATACGACAGGGGTAGCCGAGCTTAAGCCCTCCAACTGTGAAGCAAATACAAATCCTATTAGGCATTGCAAGACTGGAGGCGGATGTACGATTGGTTTTGTAGTTTCACCACAGCTGGAGGGCTGGAGTTTGCTTATCCTCGTTATAAGAGATTAGGTTTACATCTACTTTAGCTTGGTGGAAAACCCCATTCATGATCTTGACTATAGAAGTGCAACTCAACCCTACCCACATTTCTACGGTAACTAGTTTAAAAATGCATCCCCAAGGCCACCCGGAGCTGACTTCTGAAACAAAGTAGGCAGAGCGGCATCACAACGAACAGGTTAAAGAATTGCAAGTGCTCCAGTGGCCTCTGAGCTGCTATTTATGGCAAAGGGAAGAGCTGTCAAGGGCCAAGGTGAGAAGACCCCAGTCATCTTTGACATGCAAGCGGTGGAGGAAAACAAAATAGAGATCACGTCAAAATATCAACATGGGTGGCATTGCATTTCTGTCATTGGGGTACCGGCCAAAGCTAAAAGCAGACATGTTTTCTTTTCACTTCCTCAGAAAGACTCATTGTTTTATATTTTTCAGAACAAAGTGGATCTTAATCCCCTTATTTATAATACCTTCCTTGGTGGAATGCACTGGCATTTCCAGATTTTGTTAAACCGTTTCCTCTGGCTTAAAAAAGAAACATACCAATTCATCTACAAAACTCTTTTAGAGTTTGTGTGGTGAGGCTGGAAGTGTAGTATGTGATGAATATGTGATGTGTATTATAATGTAAAGCAGGCCTGTCCCTCTATATTAAATGCTAGTGATCCGTATATCATTTGAATATTGCTGAAAGTCACTTTTCTCAGAAGGATTTCTAAGGAATTAAACAGAGTAGAACGTGACTTTAGAATGGCATCTGCCTTTGACCCCAGTAGATATAGCAATTGAAGCACCATACCAATGGTCCAGGTATAACTTTATTCCATTAGGGTCTGGAGTCATTGATGAAAGGGGTGTGTTTTGGAACCCTTGGCTTCTCTACTTGAATGCCCCCCGACCCTAATGGAATGAAGTTACAGAGTATTGTAGTGGTATAGGAAGGAAGATGATGTAAAGTGATTCACAGATTTATGCACCATTTGTATTTTAAGATGCTAAGACGGCTAGCCTTCCGTTGACATAGTATGCTGACCCCACAGGTATGATCAATGTTATCAGCAAATGTACGCAGAATGTAACACAGCCAACCTAAGACATTTTCATGGCCATTCGTTTCTCACATAGCAGCCTTAGTTTGGTGTCACACATATTTTTTATGGGGCACTTTTCAGTATGTCTGTGTCTCGTTTATCCGTGTCATGGTACATCTAGTAGTTGTTAGTCATATTCAGCTGGACTTCTTCTATAATGTAAAATACATTACTACTCATTCAAGTAGCTTCTTCAGCTCTCATGAGTGTCAGGAACATATCCCAGCTTTTACATCAACACAATAAATGCAAGTTTAACATCCCCACCCTGGCCATTTAACAATTCACACCTTCACCGATGTAACTCGAACAATTGACACCTGTCTTCGTGGAACCATTGGTGATTGGTTTAGGTAATGAGAACTGGAGGGTTTCACAAACTTTGACAACTCTCATCATATTCCTGGACAATCAACAAATGGCTTTGACACATTCCATGGTGATCATAGTTATCCATGTAGCTATATATACTGAGGTATGTTCCTGACACTCTTTAGAGCTGAGGAAGTTACCTGGATGGGGAATGGAATGTCTTCATTGTCCAGTTGGATGTAATTAACTACTACCTGGTAGACTTTTCAGTTCATTTAATTTGATGTAGTTTAGGCTGCAGGGTAAAATATCCCATTGAGCCTTTATCAGCTTACATGCCAGCAAAGACCCATTGCCAAAGAATGATGCTCATTAGGAACCAGAGATTGTAAAAGTCCACTGACACATTAAATTACATCTAATGACAAATATAACACAGTCTTTACTTTGATCACAAGTGGTTGAATCAGCCTAAATATGGCTGCTTTCTTCAGGTCACAATAACTTACTCTTCGAAAACCTATCATTTATGATTTCGATTGCAAAGTGTCTCCCTAAGCTTGCCCGATAAGGTGTCATCTTCCTCAGAACTGTAAAAACTGGTGTGTGGACTATAGGAGAAGAGTTGGGACTTTGTTTCAAAAGTCATATCGAGAATGTCAAAAGAATCGCTGGAGAGAAAGCTGTCATCGCTGATCACACTGGATGGCCGGCTGGGACTCTTTGGTGCATCTGCACTGGGGAAGATTAAGTCTTCCATGGAGTCTGAGAGCCGGAGGGACGAGCAGTCTGCTGGTAGATCCAAACTGGTTGAAAACCGTCCGTTCTTTTTAAGAATGCCTTTTTTCCTCCTGTATCTATCTGACCTTCCTTTTTCTTCTACTGATTTAAGGTAGGCCTTCTGGCATTCTGAGGTCGTTATCCTCTCCGGGGAAGATGAATATCCCGATTCCCTCTCGTATGTCTTTTTTAGTATTCCTTTCTTCGGCTTGTTGAAAGTGCATTCGACATCCGTTGATATGTGAGACTCGTAGGCAGACGTGGTTTTTGCTTCTTGGCTGAGCTCCATGCAATTCGGAGACACGTTTTCAGAGAAATTTGAGGAGTTTAATAACGAGCTGTCAAAACTGCTCCTTTTCTTCAAGATCCCTTTTGGTTTCTTCCTGAAAGCGTTAACTTCGAGTTCTTGTTGGGACTGATTGATGTCATTTTCTTTTTTGGACTTTCTTAGGCAGCCTTCATACTCTTCCTCTTCCCTGAGATGGACTCCGCTCTGTTCGGTTTCGGTCCCTTTGAAACCGGGTGTGTTCTGACATTCAATGTAGCGCGCTAGCAGGGGAGATTGACATTCCGGGACTAGATGACAGTCACATACCGCCGTGTCGTACCCCCAATTAACCCACCAGTGATTGGCAATGTCTTCAATGGTCGCTCTTCTGGCTGGATTCACTGTCAGCAACCAGTCAATCAGTCCGCAGGCTCCTGTAAAAAAAAAAAAAAAATACATTTTATTCCAAAATGTTACATGCCAAAAAAAGAATTTAAAAAAATCATCCTTAGGCTTTCTCTAACATAAGGAAGGCTAGAGATGTCAGATAGCAGGTGGATGAGCAGGTGTTATCCCACCACAAAGGAGGAGTGTGGTATCTTCCCTCCCTGCTCCACCGGCAAAAACATTTGTACACTTAAAGGGCAACTGAAGCCAAGACTTTTTTTTAGCCATGAATAGAGTGCAGAGGTATTAGAACACCTGTCAAGTTTTTATTGCTGTCTGTGTCCCTGTAAGGGTGATTCTCTCTATTTGTCCTGGTGCCATTATCACTGAAAGCTAAAGTGCTAAATCCCAAATTTTGGGATGTCACCACTACAAGAACAGATGGGAAATCTTTCTATGGTGACCACTAATTCTGGTGACCCACTGGGGATTTCCCTCACTTTGCAGTGATTTCCTCTTACATTCTGTTGTAAATGAAGACAGGAAGTGAAGATAAATCTCCCCGATGGGACACAGATGACAAAACAAAAGTCACAGCTCAGTCTGCTAAAGCTGGCTATACACGGTTACATTTAATTAATTCAAACTGTGGGCTGAACGAAAAAAATAAAACAGATTTCTCCATCAAAGCTAAACAGTGTGGATGGATGAATCTCCAGCTGTGTGCTTTGTATTCTGACAGAGGGGGGCCTGCTGCTGTCAGAAAACCCAAACAGTGATGGCAGCTGACTGGTTGTCATCACTGTTCACCCGTTTCCATCCGGCTCCTTCGATTTTGTGATCGTAGAATGCCAGACCTAAGGGTGGCGACAGGGCCGCCCACTGAAATAAATTCATACGGCCAGCTTTACTCCCGAAGTACATGTTGTTGTTTTATGGCGTATTTCTCACATCTCAGTCACCTAACTCCCACAGTATATGTTGTTTTTTATCCCATGCTTCTGTATAAAGCAGAAACTGAGATACAGACTTTGACGGCTCACTCCTTTTCATTCCTAGCCATGGGCAGCACAGTGCGTTAGTGGTTAGCCCTTCTGCCTTGCAGCACTGGGGGTCCCCAATTCAAATCCTGGTCAGGACACTATCTGCAAGGAGTTTGCATGTTCTCCCTGTGCATGCATGGGGAACTTTGGTTTCCTCCCACACTCCAAAGACATGCTGGAAGCTTAATTGGCTCCTGTCTAAGTTGGCCTTTGCTATGTGTGTGCAAAAGGGACCTTAGATCTGCCTTCAGGGCAGAGACTGATGTGAATGTGGGGTATGTAAAGAGCTGTTAAAATTGTTGGTGCTCTCTAAATACCTGTAATAAATAAATAAAAACCTGCAAAGGAGACAGTCTGATGATTGACAACTCTTATCTCACGGTCTCTGTACTTTCGCAACAGAAAATAAGGCTCCGCTGTCAGTTCTAATGCCCATCCTGTTTCCTGCGAGAGCATGTCCCCTCCATCTGCATCCATGTGACCACGCTTGTGTCTGGAAAGTGTAGGGACAGCGAGATAAGAGCTGTCAATCAAGAGGCCGTCTCCGTTGCAGGTCGTGGTCGGGAATGAAGAGAAGTGAGCCGTCAAAGTCTGTATCTCAGTTTCTACTTTATACAGAAGCAGGGATTAAAAAGCAACATATAGTGTGGGAGTTGGGTGACTGAGCTGTGAGAAATAATACAAGGTGAAGCTTCTTCTTTAACCCCTTCGTGACGGGAGACGTACACTGTACGTCCAGCCACAAAGGGACCAAATGACTTGTCACGTACACTGTACGTGACGAGTTATTTGCTGCTTTAGAGGGCTGTTAATCGCTGAGAATCAGCTTTTAACATTCATTAATGGATGCCCTTACTACAGAGGCATTCATTAATGAAAGGGTTAACCTTTTTCAGACACCCGATACCTTAATATCGGGTGTCTGAGAGTCAAAGCAAAGCGGACACAGATGCCGGCTTTTGCCGGCATTCTGACAGCTCGTATAGATCGAGAGATATCTCTCTCAAGCTATACTGGGTTTTTTTTTTTTCTTTCATGAATAGATACAAAATGTGTCTATTCCTACAATGTATCTATTCCTGGAAGAAGAATGTTTGTTTGCTGATCGTTGTTGCAACAATCAGAAAACATTTAGTAACAGCTGAATCCTGAACTGCTGCAGGATCAGTGTCACTAACTTATTATCGGCTGTTCTGAAGTTTGAAGCAGCCTGATAATAACCAAAAATTTATTAATTTATCATGCAGTAACAGTGAGATTAATTCACAAAATCTGCTTGATATAATTAAATAAATAAAATAACATTTTTAAGTTAAAAAAAAAAGTGAAAAGTGTAAAAAAATAAATAAATTGTGAAAAGTGTAAAAAAAATGTGTAAAAAATAAAATAAAATAAGGGACAAATAAATGAATGTATTTATTGCATTTTTTTAGCTGTGCTGGTTTTGTAAAAAAAATACTACAAATCAAAACTGGGAAAAAAGTGTTTTTTTTAAACGTTTTTTTCCTCTTTTTTTATATTTTATTTGTCCTAAGTGAGGCGTTAGAAGCACATATGTGATATAAATATGTAGCCCTATCTGTCCTCTAAAAAACAATATATAACATGTGTGGGTGCACTTTGTAAGAAAGTATATTACTGACGTGGAAGCATCACACAGCAAAAATGTCAAAAGTGTGTCAGTCATTTACGAACAGAAACTAAAAACAAGCTCAGTCATGAAGGGGTTAATAAAAACATAATTATACCTCACGGGCCTATTATCAGCAGTGAACTTTCACCACTTACCAGAGAGATGAGGAGGCTGCCTGTACTGGCCGCTGCCAATCTGATCTGCTAATAATTTATAATTGCTGTTATCGAATGGCATACTTCCATAGATCAGAGCATAGAGAAGTACTCCCAGAGCCCAACAATCAACCTGCAGAGGGAAGAACAGACAAATAACAAGCATGCTTAAGAGAAACAGACTTACATAAAGGGAAAAATCACATTGACATTTAAGATGTCAATCCAATCACTAATATAAGGGTGTAGCATGTTAATGTAATTTTCAATCTTTGTAAGGTACTTCCTGATCCCGAGTAACAACAACATACGGTTCCTGCCTCCGAATTGTGCTCCTGTGTTATCACCCTCTCAGAGAGACTACAAGTGGCCATTTTAACACACATTGCCCAAGCACGGTCCTTTGTTGTTACCATCAGAAAACGTGCCCTGAGAAATCCCATGCCGCCATTGCTGCAGTGCATGTAGACAGGAAGTGGCAGCAAAGAGACATAAACAGCATTCAAGTGGAGCAAAGGATGAAAAAAAGGTGGCAAGTATTTTACTGGAAAAAAGGCAATTATATTATAATACACCGTGCTATAGTAAACTACATGCCAGTGAGGGTTTACACCCACTTTCCCTATAACCTTTATGTGATCAGGAAAAGACAACTTGAAACAATTGGAAAGTTAACTTTCTGCAAATAGTAAATAGGACAACGAAGATCCAAGTTCTTACCTCTGGGCCGTGGTAGGGAAGACCCTTGACTATTTCCGGAGAGGCGTAGAGAGGGCTCCCACAGTATGTTTCCAAGACCTGTTTCTTATAATAGAGGTTTGATAGTCCAAAATCTGCAAGCTTGAAACAATGACAATACAATGTAATAATTTGATATTCTTTACATATTACAGAAAAGGTCTAATATAGAAAATATACTGTATTCCATACATTATATATATATATATATA